TTATTAGTTATTATATCTTAAATCCTTTATATTTGTTACGTGTTGCCATGATGCTACTACCAAACGTATCACAGTCATGAGTGCCTGGTTATATGGCATTAGTAATGACTTAGATAAGCTTGATTGTGTTGGAAGAGCAATGAAGTAGTTAGAGAGTTGTAGGGAAAAATTAGCAAAGGCCGGTATTTTGGTTGAATTAAAATTTAGTTCTCAATAAGAGTGATTTTTAGGATGAAATGAATTACTCTCCTTATGAAAAAAAGGATTCAAGTATTGTACTCCTGAAAGTCTATAATTCTGTTCTAATTATTTGTTTTATTTTTTCCTTTAAACAGGTACTCAAACCTCAGTGATATATCGAACCACATGTTCCCTCCTGTTGCTCATCAGGAGACACTGGGCGAATACTCTTCCTTGCAATACTGGCGGGCACCCTTGCCTGATGTGTCCACTGAAATAGAAGCAGTCCTTTCAGAGGAGAGAGGGAAATAGTGATCTTGTTGGAACCTTAAACTTTTCAGTGGTGGTAAGAACATCTTTTGATTTTGCAATGTGGTTTTATTTTTTTCTCTTCTGGGCTACCATGCAGTTTGTCACTATATATAGATATTTTTTTCCAATATATATTAATTTTTTTTTTGTATATCCCAGAAAGTTCAGTTTTTTACATGATGTTTGTGCTCTGAGGATTTTGTTAGGGTGGAAAAGTTAATGGTTGCCTGTTTTCTGTGAAATAACGTTGACAGGGAAAGCAAATAAAAGGCTGTACATTTTTGGTCTGATTTACCATTGTATAAAATCATTCTCCCTGGATGAGGTCTCACTCTGATCTTACCTCCTTCCAGGAATGAAAATGTTGCGTCTGCAATGCACGAGTGAGTAGTGGAGGGACCAGCCTCAGACATTCCAAGAAGAACGAAGATCCTAATTGTACTTTACATCAAGGAAAGGAAATTGCTGATTTACACTTGAAGTATATTTGTAATGGAGCCTGTTGAAGTCTTCTCTGAGGTTACAGATATTTTCAGTTCATGAAGGATTGCAGTGTTTGAATGCTGTTAACATGTACATTACATGTGGGCTGCTTACCTCAGGGATGGTTATTAATTTATTGTGGTTGCTGAATAAGCCGATTGATTTCCACAAATATGATGGTATGTTCTTTTTTATAAGGCTGATAAACAAGGTTAAGTCAGACCTGTGATTAACTGGGAGTTCGTTTGGGAAACAGGCAAAAAGACAGGACATTGTACGTCAATAACATTTTTTTTTTTTTTTTTTTAAGCATTATCAGACTGATAACCTACCAACACTTTTAATAATATTAAAGTGAATTTAATGGGTGAATACTGTGGATGGAGGGTTTCATTTCAATTATTAGAAAATATTACAAGAAAAAGATTAACTTGAAATTATTAGTTGTGTTAAAATACATGAAAGCAAAATTTGTCATTCCTAGCATTTATATTGGTGTAAGTGATTAGCTATTTATTATTCTCCTTGTCATTTCAATTTTGCTATTGGGTACTATCGATAGAGACTGAAAATTAAAATTGCAGGTGTCAGATTTTTGGAAATTGTGTAGAAAAACCAGTGATTGTAAAATTATGCAACTGAAGAGTAATATCTACATGTGACTGGACTTAGAATGATATTCTTTCTTTATAATAAGTGATATCTGGTGTTGTAGGTTTAAGTTCAGAAATTTGCATATCAGTTTAGTTTTATGTGTTATTCAGGGAAATTAAGTATATATTTATTTTTTGTACAGTTCTATGTTTTGTCTGGTCTACATTCATTCATTTCCATCTCATTCTTGCATTATCAGAATCTGAAGCCATTTATTTGAATTTAATTCCCATATTTATTACACGAGCAGCTTTCGTATTGTCTAGTTACTCTATCAAGCTGCTTTTCATCAACACCATATAATACTGTATGTATTTATATTCCTTTACATGTTGTAGGGATTAAATCATGTAATTTGAAGCATCTCATCTGAAAGTTTACAGGCTACATCAGCTGTGATTCTCAAGGAGTCAGAGGATGTTCTAAAAGCTTGGGGAGTTGTTGCACATATGTGATAATAAAAAAAACAATTAGTGCTGTCAACTGTGATCTGTTGAAGACATCCACCAAGGTGCTGTATATAACATGAAGTGTTGATTATTTCAAATTCTGAATTGGTTTGCAGATGTTCCAGAATTCAGAGTAAACAGTGTTGTGTACAAGTGTGTGAGTTTACACAGGCATGTGGGATCTGTCGGAAGTTGTATATGTTGATGTGCAGTACTGTGACCTTGCATCCATCCGTTGCCTCGGTTCTGTTAACGTAAAACCTTCATTTCAGGCGTGGAGATTCCATTTTCATTTGAAAGATGAATCTGAACTGTTTCATTAGATATTTCTTAAGAACAATTCACTCTTTGTTTTGAAATTAGTTCATGGTTAGGAGAGAGGATGATCAGAAGGCACAATCGTTGTAGGTTGGCAATATATT